ACCTGTTTCTCAGTAATGACGACACCTGAAGCACCTCTTGTTCTTCTCAAACCTCTTCCAATCTCATGCATCTTAAACAGAATCACTTGTTCTTGTGTTTAATAAACTCGAAATAAAATTCAGCTTTTGTGTGAAAACAGGGGAATATTTTCATCGATCTGCAAACGCTCTGTTAGTCTCACTGTGTTGATTCTGTTTTTTCACGGATCGCCCAGCCACTGTGGCGCTGAAGAAAAGCTTGTTTCTGGGAGTTAATTTGTTTTTTTGCTTTCTGCGTGTTAAGATCTTTAACGTCTCCGATCACAAAAGCTCGAATCCAATCAGAAACGACCAGTAAGTGCAGGAAATATGTGATTTAATCCCATCTGAATCGAGCTTTACTCCCAATTTTGACGCAACAAACCAATTTCCCAGACTTCTCTCTCGCCTCTCATTGTGTCCTTCCAGCACAAATCGGTTTTCATAAGTCCAGCCCGACCACATTCCTTAAAATATACGTTTTTTTTTGTTGCAGCTACTTGAAATGTGACATCAGCTGGAAGCCACATCTGATGCTGAACTGAAGCGTTGCAGCAGCAGCAGCAGCAGCACTATTCTTACACATTAACAGGATGGAGCTGTTCCTCCTGGCAGCGACCACGGCTGTAAGCTCTAAGTGCTATGTTTTTTTGGGGGGTTGCCCCGGACTTCATTTGTTTTTTTCTCGTTCAGTTACGTGGTCTAAAAACGGCCTGCAGATGGGTTCTGTGCTGCAACAGCTGTGGTCGGGTTTGTGGCTGCTGACAACGGTCACGTTTGTCAAAAAAGAAAAAAACAGGTCGGTTGCTGCCGTTCTCTTCGCGGCGGCCGTAGAGTTTGATTAAATTTATGAGAGAAAAGGCAAAGCTGGTTACCCAAACACACACACACACACACACACACACACACACACACACACATCTCTGAAAGGAGAAGGGGCTCGTATGTAGAAGGATATTAGTGAGAAGTATATCAAAAATACTGTTATTCTTTTGGAGCAGAGAAATACACAGAGGTTGATAAAGTCTACACATCAAACTAATGGCACATACATATACAGGATCAATACAAAATTAAAAACATATGAACATATAAGCTGAAATTTATTTTTTTTTAAAGAAAAAAAAAATACTCTTTTTAAAGGTTGAAAGTGCTAGAATTCAGATTAGCTCACAGAAACCCGGGGAGGACAAACTTAATGCATGCCAAAAGCTTTTCCTATACTTGTTTTTTTTTTTTCTAAATGAAATATTTGTTATAAAAAAATATAAACGCTCAATTTGATTGCTACAAATTTTGGCTTAAGCCAAGAGGGGTTTTTCTTAAAAACAACCTTTTTTTTTTTTTTTTTAAGCTCATAATAAAGATCAAATTTGAATCTTGAATTTTTTTTTCTTTCTTTAATATTATAAATTTTTTTAAAGGTGCCAAAAGCTTTTAGGATCAATCAGAAGTTTGATCTTTTTTTATTATTTTTTATAAAAGTCACTATCAAAATAATGACTTTCCAGGGGGGAGACTAATAATAATAAGTGTAAGAAATAAGCTGCAAATTAATTAAAAAGTTTATCGATGAAGTCGAGCAGTCAGACTGCGTGGGGAAGCTGCTGATTCGGAGTTTTCATCTGCGTCTACCTTCCTATTTGCTTTTTTTATTCCAAAGGGGGGTTCGTCTGTTTATATCTCATCAGCTGCTCATCGTCAGGGTTTCATATCCTACAGTATATATATATGTATATATATATATATATGAAAAAAAAGAATAATAATCATCGGATAACACTCGTAGCAGTTTTGTAACAAGCAATTGTGCAAAAATTTCTTCTCCCGAGGTTTTGGTAAGAAAAACAAACGAAAAAAAAAAATGAGGTGATGTGTTGTGTTGTTTTTTTCGAGGTCCTGTTTTATACAAACAGAAAATAATATAAATCATATGACAACAAACAAAACAAATATATGACTCGGAGGCGACGCCGGGAGTCGGGCGGTCGCTCCACGTGTCCCACCCTCGCCTGGCTTTGAATGTCAAAGCGGCGGGGATTCGGCGACCGCGCTCGTCCCGGCGTCGCCGCGTTTTCAGACCCTTTTCCTTTGACTCTACGAAGCAGCTGAAAGAGGAGGAGGTGGAGGAGGAGGTGGAGGAGGAGGAGGAGTACAGAGGGGGGCCAGATGAACACTTTGTCGGTTCGGTTTGTGCATGTTTCAGCTCGCTGTCCATCTTGCAAAACAAAAAACAAAACAAAAAAAGTAAAATTGAAATGTTCTAGTGGTCTACAGTTGTCGTCCATCAGCAACCGTAGCTACAAGCAGCAATATGTGTTTTACGTTTCCTTTTTATGTGCTGTGTTTTTCCTGGTTTTTTTTTTTCTTTCTTTCTTTGTCGACTTTGTGGCGGGTGGAGCTCGACTCGAAGGCCAAGCGAGCGTCTTGTTTTTTTCTACCACCGGAACGAGACTTCCGCACAAAGCGAGCTGGTTAAAACGTGTGATGAACTCGCGGATTCGTCAGTGTTGGTCAGACAGAACGTTAAAGGAGAACCACGGATCGCTTCGACCTGTTGTTCTCGTCGATGTGTCCGTTGAGGTTCGGTGGATCACCAGAGGTTTGCACTCTGCGCCTTAGTGGTGGAGGAACGAGAACAAAACTGGTCGAATTATTGTGAGAAACGTGACTTCAGCTTTCAAAATAAATGTTTTTCCTCCCGTTTCATCAAAGAAACAGAAATAAGCCGCCTGGAATGGACATCTTGCAAACTGCATTCTCCATCAGAAACGTGATGATGTTCTGGAAACTCAACAGCTGAAAGGATCAAACAGGAAGTCAGATAATGAGTCAACGGGATGTTCAAGGAGCTCATGAAAGCCAACGGAAGACAAAAGCAGTAAGACATGGAAACTGAGGAGGAAACCTAAATATGCAAAGAGCAGGAGCTTGAAACGGAAAATCTAGAAAATCCTCACAGCCGTGAAACTACAACTAATGAGTTTTGATAAACATCTTGGGAGTTGTAATGACCGAAAGAACGAGATCGCCGATACAAGCGGCCGAAATGAGAGTGGCTGGGCGCTCCCTTAGAGATAGGGTGAGGAGCTCGGCGTAGAGCCGCTGCTCTTCCACGTCCAAAGGAGCCAGCTGAGGTGGCTCGGGCATCTTTTCTGGATGCCTCCCGGACGCCTCCCTGGGGAGGTGTTCCAGGCGCATCCCACCGGGAGGAGACCTCGGGGAAGACCCAGGACACGCTGGAGGGACTATGTCTCTCGGCTGGCCTGGGAACGCTTAGGGGTCTTCTGGAAGAGCTGGAGGAGGTGTGCGCGGATCAGGAAGTCTGGGCGGCTTTGCTAAGGCTGCTGCCTCGGCGACCCGACTCCGGATAAAGCGGAAGAAGATGGATGGATGGATCTTGGAGTTGGTGTTTCAGCTCCACAACATCAACAACAGCAGCCGGACCAAAGCCTCGGCCGCTTAAACGGTCGGTAACAAGAAGTTAAAAGTCATTTTTGCGGGGAGCTCTTTAGCGCTAACACGTGCTACACATGTACGCAGGTGACTGGAGTCAAATGCAGTTTGCAAAATTGTCGATCCAGGCGTCTAACGTCTGTGTTTCCCTTTAGTCAGACTGAAACTGTTTGCAGGAAAAGCTGCAGGAACCTTGTTCCGACTGAATCTCCACCTCGAAGGTAGAAAATGCAAAGTTAGCGTGAACCACAGAGACACGACGGAAGCATGAACACAAAACTCTGCAGGTCGAAACGAACCCTGAAGCTCGTCCTTTAAGATCAGAGGCAGCTGTCTGACTTTGAGGCTTAGGTTAACTTTGGGCTCAGGTTTTTTATAGGCTGGTGGTGAAGGGTTAGAGCTCCGAGGCATCCGGAAGCTCGGAGCGAAGATCGGATGGGATGTCGTCGCTGCGCTGGGGCTGGAAACACTCGATGGCCAGTTCATTAGGGACACCACCAGTACACCGGATAAATCTTAGCTTAATGGAGGTTATAGCGTTCGGTTTTTGTCAAAACAAGCTGGAGACTCGGCTAGTCGGACACGTTTCCGTTATTTTCAGTTGGGCTGCGACAAAACACAACATGAACAATCAGCATCTCCTTTACGCTGTTTGAATAAAAACTGAAGGTGTTTTGGTGAAGCTAAAAACAAACTGGCAACTGAGTGTGTGTATATATATATATTTATATTTACATATATATATCTAGACCCAGAGTCAGAGATTGATCGGCCATCCATGTCAGCATCCCAATGACACAATCTAGCTAATTCAAATCCTACTCGATTAGTACGCCGCTAACAGCCGCCTGTAAATATCTCCCGTCCACAGTTCTGGTTCCACTACACTAACTCAAGTACGTGTAAAAGGTAAAGATCGGATATGACGAGAGAAAGCTCAGGGAAAAAGCTAATACTTCATCCGTTTGTTTGATCAAAACAAAAAAAAAAAAAAAAAAAAGCAAGATACACACAAATGTAAACCTGCCAGACATCAAAAACATCATCGTTTTAATACGTCTATCTAAAAAAATACACCTTACTGAGATAAAAGCAATTATAATATTCATTTTTGAGATATTTCGTACACTGCAATAACATTCTTTAACACATTTTTTTTTCCTCATCTGTCACTGTAATGCTTTTTCTGTTTTTTTTTTTTGCCATTCACATATGTCAGGGTTCATCATTACCATGATGACGATGCATCTTTTTTAAAAGACTGCGAAAAGATGTGTTTTTGTTTTATATTCCCTCCCCACCCCCCCAAAAAAATATATATATTTCATAGATACGTGACGGGAACTTTTAAAGGTAACTGTTGGAAGGAAGACGTGTGAAGGAAGGAGAGCGCTCATTGTGAGGAAGTGCCTTCTGCTAAAAAAAAAAAAGTGCTTCTCTTGAGGAAGAGCGTGAAGTCCACGTTTCCACATTTCTTTAAAAAAAAACGTGTGTGTTTGGCAGCAAAATAAGAGCCTGTTTGTTCATTTGTGAAGCTGTTGACCCGACTCTAGGAGCGCGCCACTTTAATCTTGTCTGAAGAGCACTTTTTTTTTTTGTTTGTTTTTTAGATTCAGGGGGTTCGAGGAGGATTTCATGTTCATCTCTTCGTTCCTTCACTGATCTCTCTCCTCTCCGTAGGTTGTGGCTGTTTTCAAAGATGAGACACATTCTACCATCTTCTTACATTTGGAAAAGAAAAAAAAAATAAAGTAAAAACAAAATAATCCACTTCAAACTATGTTTTTTTTTTCTCTCTCTGGGTCACAACAAGACAGATAATCTTCACTAAAGAATTATCTTTGATTTTTTTGTCTTTTTTTTTTGTTCTTTTTTGTTTTTTTTACATTATTACTTTAGAAAGTTTGCAGTACCACGCCTTTTGGCCTACTGATCCTGCCCTCTATACTACTAAATAGGGGATGGGAGAGAAGAGATAGAAGGGGGGAAATAAATGGAAATTTAAAAAAAAAAAAAAAACATGGGTTAATACATCATTAAAACTATAGGATAAGGAGAAAAAAAGCCCAAATAAAAGCTGCTTCAACTTCTTTTCTCACCTTTTCCGTTTTGCTCAAAGGGGTTTAACTTCCTTTTTACGGCTCAATCAAAAGCTTTTGTGCGCACTTTCATTTAAGGCTTCTAAGTGTTCAAATATGTATTTATCTTTCTTTTTTTTTACTCTAATTCTCAGACTTTTTCATCAGGCTCCTGTAAAGAAGCACAACCCAAAGCATCCACATCGAGCCGGGCTGCTGTGGAGGCCATCGTGGCCGGGCAGTGGTGGCGCTCTCACTGGAAGGCCTGGTGGAAGCGAGGCAGTGTGGTGGTACTAAGGCTGGAGCTGAACACTGGTGGGAGGGGGTGCAGGGGTCCGAGGCCCAGACCCCCGCTGGAGCTCTGCTGCTCCTGAGGTTGCGGTTGCAAAGAGGTAAGAGGTGCCGTGGCGACGGCAGCTGCTGCCGCGGCGACTGCTGCGGCGTGGGGCTCGGCAGCGTGCAGAGATGAGGAAGAGGAGGAGGAAGAAGAGGAGGAGGTCGCGGATGAGGTGTAGCCCATGACCAGTCCTCCCGTGCTCATGGGGGCGCTGTAGGGAGGAAGGTTGAGGGGCAGGAAGCCCAGCAGGTGGGAGAAGTCCATGTTAGCAGCACACAGAGACTCAGCGATCACCACAGGGCTCTTGGACAGGAGGGGATCCCCGCAAAGCTCATCCGCCAGGCCCGAGGTGGGCTCCAGTCCGTCCTTAGGGGGCGAGGCAGCAGTGTGGGGCTCTGCAGAGGGAACCGGGCCTGGCAAGCCGCTCTGCAGATCCATGAGGAAGCTCTCCATCTCCACTTTCAAGGGCTTTTCCAGCAGGTATGAGGTAGATCCCAGCTGGTATTTGGGGGCTGGCTGGGGCTGGTGCTGCTGCTGGGGAGCCGGAGGCTGGTGGTGTGGGGGCAGTGGAGGGGAATGGTGGTGGTGGTGATGGTGGTGGTGATGGTGGTGGTGGTGGGAGTGTGGGTGAAGAGATGCGGGGGACTCCATGTGACAGCCCATGCCCATAGCTGCAGACAAGGAACCGGGCATCAGGGACGGGTGTGAGTGACCCACCCCAGAATTAGACATGGCCTGGAGGTGGTGGGGGTTGTACATGCCCATCGGGAAAGGCGCCCCACTGGGGAAGGGTTTGCCCATCATGGGGTCTTTGTTGGGCCCCATGCCACACATCATGGGGCTGAGCTCCTCCTTCACGGAGCAGGGTGGAGACCCCGTGGCCAACAGACCCAACATATCCGGAGGCTCCGTCTTGATCTTCAGCAGCTCCTGCGAGTGGCTCTTCTTCACGTGACGCGTCAGATGGTCTTTCCTGCCGAAGCGCTGGGCACAGTACTGGCACAGGAAGTCCTTTCGGCCCGTGTGCACCACCATGTGCCGCCTCACATCCTTCCTGGTGTAGAAGCGACGGTCGCAGTGGTCGCACGGGTGTTTCTTCTCCTTGGCGCCTCCTGAGGACTTCCCCGAGTGGCTCTTGAGGTGCTCCAGGAGAACCGGCGTGCTCTCGTAGCTCTGCATGCACACTTTGCAGGTCAGGTCGCCGGCGGTGGCCGAGTGCATGGCCACATGGCGCTTGTATCCCAGCTTGGTGTTGTAGTGCTTCCCACACTCCTCGCACTTGAAGGCCTCCTTGTTGGGGTCATGGGTCTGCAGGTGGTTCTTCAGGTGGTCTTTGCGGTGGAACATCTTCTCACAGAACGAGCACTGATGAGTCTTCTGTGGAGAGTGTGTGGCCATATGCCTGCAGAGAGCAACAGATTGGGAGTTTCTTTTTAGTTACACATTCCATTGTCTTGTTGTCATGTTTGTTTTGCTGTTGAAAGTGAGACTCGCATTCCTTCTGCCTCGTGTCCATTTATACGTAAATGAGTCACAGCGGCTCACAGGCCGGACTAAACTGGGTTTTGAACCACTTCCTATGATTCACCAGATTTCTGGGATGGCAGATAGTTTAGTCATTGAAACGTGCACTGACTGGACTGTAAACAAAACTCTGAAACGTACTCATGTGACACACTGAAGGTGTTGGCAAACAGCGGCTCATTGACACATCCAGCAGCTACTGAGCAACATTAGCATTCGTTTCAGTGTTTAGCCTCTTTGTTGTTCAGTCTTTGGTCTCCACAGAATCCTAAAACCTGCTTTAAATGTAAGTAATCTTTGATAGTTCAGTAAGAATTGTGGTTAATGAATCATTACTTAAACTACCAACTAAAAGAGTTTATAACCACCAAATATATACACTCTATTCATCAATATCAAATTACAGAAATCTTACAATATACGGAAGATGGAATCCACAAAAAAACTTTGATCAGTTTGGATGAAAGACTCCCACAAACAGCCGGAAGCAACAAACTAAACTTCAGCTCCTGTTGACATTTTGTGATTTACTTTTTGCGAGTCGCTTTAATCTGATCTGTTTTTATTGCAGTAAAGGTTTTATTTTTATGGATCCTTCAGTTTGTAATAGATGTGAAGCTGTAGAGAATTATTTTGTGATATGTTTGTGGGCTGCAGGTGGATCAGTGGTTAGCACCGTTGCCTCACAGCTAAAAGGTCGCCGGTTCGCGTCCTGGTGAGGACACCCGGAATCTTTCTGCGTGGAGTCTCCATGTTCTCCCCGTGCAGCGTGGGTTCTCTCCGGGTTCTCCGGCTTCCTCCCACAGTCCAGAAACATGTTGAGGTTAATTGGTGATTCTAAATTGTCCGTAGGTGTGAATGTGAGTGTGCTTGGTTGTCTGTCTCTAAGTGTAGCCCTGTGATAGACTGGTTACCTGTCCAGGTGAACCTGCCTTCACCCTGAGTCAGCTGGGATAGACTCCAGCCCCCCATGACCCCAGTGAGGATTAAGGTGTAGAGATGATGGATGGATGCTACGTTGGGCCCACAGTCCATCTCTTGATGTGACTGTAGTTAAAATGACCTATTAGGATTTCTGTTATGACTTTTACTATAAAGCTAGCAGGACGCTCATTCAGACGTGCCGTCGACTCGCCATCAGATTAAGAAGGAATGCACGTATGATGTTCACCAGCTGCTGTATTACTGACTTAGTCTGCTGTTTGGAACAAAGCAAGAGTGTGGTTAGCTCACCAGAGCTGCTAATGAGGTGAGGGCACCTAAAACAGTCACTGGTAAAATTCTCCGCAGTAGTTTTCTGTGGGTTTGTGTGATTCATTGTTAATGTAAATGTAGTGATTACAGCGGTTTTAAAGACCTCCTGTGGGCCTTTCTCTTCATGTGGTTGCAATTCAGACTGGAGTCACGTTAAAAGTGACATGAAAGTGTTACCAAGTCCGATTTATTAGGGTTTCTGTTGTGACTTTTACTAGAGGAGGATGCTCATTCAAACATAAAGTCGACACACTCAGATGCCGTCAGAATAACAGAAAGACGTTTTACCAGAGCAGCTGCATCTGAAAATGCTAATGAGAGTCTCTAAAGTGAACCTAAAACAGTAACTAGTTCCCCATATATATTTTTGTGGCTTTGTGTGATTCATTGTTGACTCAAGCTTTGTGAAAGACATAAGTTAACATAATTATAAGTCATGCATCGCACTGTGTTGCGTTGTGATTGGTGCACGGTACCTGAAGAGTTTGTATTTGGAGCTGAAGGCCTTGGGACAGTGCGGCTGTGAGCAGTGGAAGGGTTTCTCTCCGGTGTGACTCAAGGCGTGGAGCCGGAGCTTCTCCTGGGAGGCGAACAGAGCCCCGCACACCAAGCACTCGCTACCACTCGATCTCCCGACCTCCACTCCTTCCTCTTCCCTTTCCCTCTCTCTCTCTTTCCCCCTCTCTCGCTCTCTCTCTCTCTCTGTCCGTGGGGCGGCGCTCCCAAACAGCTTGGCGGCAGTCCGTCGTCCCTCTTCCTCCGGCGTCAGTGCGGTAATACGGTGTGAGGCATCGGCGGCAGCAGCTGCCATGGCAGCCCTAGAGTGCCGCTGCCATGAAAACTCAGTTGCGGCTCCCCCGCCTCGCAGGCTCAACGTGGGAAGGAGTTGTTGAAAACGAAGGACAGCTCACTGGAGGTGCCAATGATCCAACGGAAACATCGAGGTGAGCCGAAATCTGTGGCGACACAGAACATACGTGAGTTTTTCTGTGTTCGTTTGCGGCGACACGGAAAACTTTTCTGATGGAACCTAATTTTACCTGTTTGTCAAAATGCTTCTTGTGTCTCTCGTCGCTCCTCCTTCACTCTCCTCACCCAGTCCCAACAGCTATGGTTGGTGCTGAGTGGCAAATACTGCTCTGCATCTTTACTGTCCTGAGAGGAGACAGGAAGCACACACAGGTAAGTCCACAAGAAGAAGGTCCAGTGGCACAAACCTGGAACAAAATGCATCATCTATACACCGCTTAGTCCTCACTGGGGTCGCAGGGGGCTGGAGTCTATCCCGGCTGAGAGACAGACAACTAAGCACACTCACATTCACACCTACAGACAATTTAGAATCACCAATTAACCTCAACATGTTTCTGGACTGTGGGAGGAAGAACCCGGAGAGAACCCACGCTGCATGGGGAGAACATGGAGACTCCACGCGGGGTGTCCTCACCGGGTATCTTCAGCCATAACAAAATGCATCAAGGTCAAAAACAATCAAAATCCCCAAAAAGTCTAAAAATGAAGCATCTCCAGCCAACAACAACGAAAGCAGGTCCGACTCCAGTCATTTGCAGGCTTCCTCTGAGCTCACTAGGGGGCGCTGAACGACAAGTGTGACGGACGCGACAGGAACTGCAGAGGATCAGCAGAAAAAGTGTTTTGTGAATGATGATTTTCGGTCGCAGCACTTTGTTTGTACAAGCCTACGTGAAGGCCGAATGCAGCCACCCAGCCTCATCCCTCATCGTGTGCAGATGACAGCGCGGCGCACAAAGCCGCCGTTATGTGTGTGTGTGTGTGTGTGTGTGTACATGTATGTACTTGTTATGAAACTGGATAAGGGTCCTGTAATCCAAGGGAAAACACGGAAACACACAATCCCCCCAGGGTTGTGATGGGTGGGGGCAAAAAAAAAAAAAAGGGAGTTGGGAGATTGTTTACGAGCTCAGACTTCCTAGAAGCGGCGCTACCTGTCGCCCTGAACTCAACAAACTTTCAAAACAAGAATGGAAACCTGCACCACGGCGCCTACTGACCACCGGCTACATCAACCTGTGTTGCAGAGGGACCGGATGAACCCTCTGCCTTCCCTTATTTACCCTCAGTGACCTCCGTGACCCCCCCCCCTCCACCCAGCTAGCGAACACGGCGGCTAAGTCCAAGGTTGAGCGGACACAACACTGATGGCAATGTCAGCCGCGCTCCAAGCTTCAGTCACGTGAACTGAGAGTGCATTCAAGTATGGTAAACACATGTGGGCATATGTGGCCGGACACACACACACACACACACACACACGACTCGGAGTGTGTAATGGCATCCTTTCTGTGTGAGAGGTCAGCGAGTTAAGAAAGACAGCAAACACGCCGGAATCTGCTTCCAGGCCTTTTTTTTTTTTACAGTCGCTTCTTGTGTTTGTTTACAAAGACGTGCAGGAGAACACGCGTGTTTCCACAGGTCGCTGCCGTGTGTGTGTGTGATTTCTTCCTCACACATGTGCGCACACGTTACGTCCCCGTTCACGGCGTACATGTGCGTACATGCGTCTCGGTGCGTGTTTACAGCGGTGGCTAAGAGGACCTGACAGCTGTAGCGTTGTGTGGTGGTCATCACCCAGCAGGGAGGGTGCAGGGGGGTGACACCCGTCCCATTGACCACCCTCAGGGAGCCCGGCTCTATTGTACAGCCTACCCACATCGCACATTCCTGGCCTGAACCATGCCGTCGCCCTTCCCTTCATCGCACACATACACACACACACACCTACACACACACACACACAGCGCGCCGGGTTGCGGTCGAACGCAACATCACGCAGACCAGACGTGGAGTTGAAGCCACACCACGGCGGCACAATGAGGAGAAGCCACACTGTCGACTTACAGAAAGCAACCAACAAAGGAGGCACCGTGACAAAGCGTGTGCAGTGGGAGCTTCACACATGGATGCTCGCAGGCCTGAAAGCGCCTGTTAGTGACTCCGACCGACCTGAGCAACAGTGAAACCTGCTTTCTTGTGTACCGGAGCGCCAACATGCTCTCCAATCTGTTTAACCGGATGAGACTGATCACTCGCTGAAACACACCAAACGTTTCTGGTGAATCAGAGTTTGAAGATGACACCTAGTGGGTTTCACAGCAGTAATAGTTCAGGTGCTGCCGGTGACACCAGCACTGGACCGGTTCTGCTAAAACGTCCCGACACATCGTGACCCGCACAAACAAGTTCGGGACTGAAGCAGCTAAATGGAATCCAGCCATTACAGGCTCATATTTATGCTTTTATTTTAGACTTTTATTATGCAAACATGAAAAATGTCAATAAAAATCAGAGCATAGCTGATGTTTGATTAACTTTTCTGTCTTCTGTCAACTTAAAAACAAACAGTTTTTCCTTCACAGTGCGTCACCAACACATTTAAACTGCCGTTAACTTTCCAAAATCTTGTTTACTGTCATGCTGATATAATACAATAAGCATCCTAAATGCAGGAACTATGTAAAAGGTGTTTTTTTAAAAGCTATGTCTCTATATCAGTGTTTGAAAACTTGAATTATTGTTTTTTGCATCCCTTTCTCTTCTTCCTTCTTTCTTTCTCATATATATTTATTTCTTGTGTGTTTTATTCTTATTCGTCTTTTTAATATTGTTTCGGTGTGGAACAGGTGCACAAAGCATTTCACTGCGCGTTATCCCGTATATAACTGTGTTTGTGACCAATAAAGGCCTTGAACTGAATCCTTGAATCAAACTAGGAAGCTAGAATTTACTTCCCTGCTCTCGCTCAAACAGAAAAATTCTATGAATTGCATCTTTCAGTTTGTTGTCCAACACATTTAAAGGCAGAGAATAACTGAAGTGCAGCAACTCACTCAATTTTATCATGAAACAGCCAAACAGGTCCTGCTAAGATAAGCACACGTTAGCTTGGATAACAGGTAATCTGGTGTATTTAATCATTTGTAAATTATATATTACATGGCATTAAATTGCAGATTTATAGTTGGGTTGGAATAAAGGCGGTGATACGCTTAAAAAGGGATCAAATAAGTATCTGTGACAGTATTTTTTATCCACTGCAGCCTTAGTGTTGGAGGACACATCAACCCTACGAACCCTTCCATGTTTTCTTGTTCCTGTCACATAATTTTATAAAAGTAAAAAAATGGAACCAACATGTAGAACATTTCCTAGTGTCCACATGTATTAACAACGCAGTAGATAATTTACAACTTATATTTTAGGCTTCTATCTGTTTAAACACAGCCTGCAGTTCAGCCCAGTACATCCTGAATTTTTGTGGCGTGACTGTTAGTCACAGTGGAGTCACTGATGGCTTCACGGTTGTGCTGAGAAGTGCACAATTTTTTGGTTTTTACAGAATCTGATTATAGCAAATACTTTATTTTTAGCGAATTTTTAAATGAGACTTGAAGCGATTTGACGAACTGTTGTGATTTTAAGCTTTGGTTAAAGAAAATCTGATTCTGACAGTCTTGTGATGAATGGTGACACTTTGGTGGATTTTTAACATATTTTTTAAACCCGCTGGCTCGTTTGGGACTTCAGATGGTTAATATTATAAACACGATCGTGCTAAAGTGTAGAGACGTGAAGCTACAGATCTCAGAAACGACTCCCCGACTGTTCCACATCAGTCGACTTCTTTCCGTCGATCAGCGGCCGAATTGCTTTTCTATCAGCCAAAAAATCAACCCGTCCACATTTTTGCTTTCATACCTCAACGGGCTGATTGCTGCACGTCGGAGGAGAGAAAACCTTTTGTACATTAGGTCACTGAATCTTTCCCACATGTCTCCCTGCAGCACTTCATGCTTCTCATTATATATCAATCAACCAGCGACTGTCCGGCTGAAGTTCTTGTATTTCTGCTCCACACGAGGAAAACCCCTCGACTCACACTCTGGTTTGTTTTTGTGTTTGCATAGAAAATCCATCACCACAGCGTTCAGCTACGATCCAGATGCCCTCACACCAACAACAAGAACGCTTCGGAAGTAAATATGTAAATAAATGAACTGCTTCTGCGAGGAAAGCAGAAATGAAAGTGTGATATACTCGTCTACACGTGTTGATTTATGTATTTTTAAGTTTCCTTACATGCAGATAAACAGCCTCTTGTTATTTGCCAATAAGGATGAATATAGTGCAGAACAGGGTCAGAGACTCAACATTTGCCTTTTCATCATCGTGTCACAGGTCATTATTAGGTTGATTTCATTAGTTTTATCCAGGATACTGCTGCCAGCGGTGTTATTTTGTCATTTAAAATCAATTCCCGCAAATTTTAAATGCATATTTGGACATTAATTTCCTCCACAAAACCATTTAGCATCAACTACACATTTGACTGTCACAAAAAAAAAGTTGATTTTATTTCTTTCTTTGATGAATTCTCACTAATTTACAAATTGTATTGAAAGTCACTGCACACTAGGACCATAAATTCAATACAATAAATTATTTAAAAGCAGCTCCGCCACAAAAAATGCTGCCAATTTCACTTCAGTCAATGCCTCCTGCTTTATCAAGTGTACCATTAGCTGGCTGTGTTACGTTTTCTTTTAAAATCACTTTCAGGTCACCTTGAAAATCCTAAATGTGGATTTAGATCCCCTCACAACGCCAGTTAGCAGCAACTGCTACGTGGAGAAAAGAGGCTTAAAGTTCATTTTATTCCCTTTTTTCTCACTATTTCACAGACCTTACAGAAAGAAAAAGAAAATACTGCACACAAGGACCATAAATTTATCACATTAACTTATTTAAAAGCAGTTCAGCTGCATTAAACTGTCCTCAAGTCAATGGCTACTCCGCTAAGCTAGGCTAGTTAACATTAAGCTAGTTAGCGTTTCAAAGTTTTTCCACTTTTTTCCTTACTGGTATCATCAAAGTTTTGTCTTATTTGTGTGGCAACAAGCAGAATTAAGATGTTGAATCATTAAAACTGCTCTTTCAATTCCACAAAAAAGCAAAAGTTAGCATTTAGCTAAATCTGTTAACGAGCTGAGTAGTCGCTGCAGTTTAGCTTTCATCTGTTTTCTACCTCTTGTAAAAAATTTTATGAAAAAAAATTGGACATTTCTAAACTATACATTGTTTAAAATGTTAAAATAAAAATGGATAAATTAGATTTT